GCAATGCCTAAGTCACAGACGCCGACACAATCGACATTACTACTACTAATATTACAATTAATACTACCGCCACCACCACCACTACTACTACTACTATTACTACTACTACTACTACTACTACTACTACTACTACTAGTAGTAGTAGTAGTAGTAGTCGTACTGCTACTACTACTACTACTACTACTACTAGTAGTAGTAGTAGTCGTACTGCTACTACTACTACTACTACTACTACTACTACTACTACTACTACTACTACTACTACTACTACTACTACTACTACTACTACGGTAATACAACTACTAATGTGTCTGCTTGGGGTTTTGTTTGTTTTTCAACCAACGGTTGACCGCATGAATCCATTTCCCAGCTTGTGTCTACTGTGTCTAACTTTGAGGTAACAGCAAAAGTGCCCTTTCCATGCCAATATGCCTATAGGAAATATACGGCTAGACCTTTATTTTATAGACCAATCGGCACTTGGTGGGTGATGTGGTCATCATCACACCGGTCGCCTTTACTTCTCATGACTGCACCTCGTACCCACTCAAGGCTGGGTCGACCTGGGAGTCAAGGTAATTTTTTTTTTAAGTCCGGCTGCGTCAGGAGCTGAACCCACGACCTTTCGATCCGCAGACCAGCCTCTAGCCGCCATCGCCACGGCGACTTCCGTATCCAACTTTGCACTGCTCACATCAATGCCTCACCATTGGCTGGTAAAGAATTTTGTCGACACGATGGCTTGTATCTCCGTGTGTTTATCCTTTGCCTACATTGCGCTTTTTGATCGTATTGTGAGCTAATTTTGTTCTTGATTGTACTCACACCGATTACTTTAATCCACTCCGCAGTTCTGGACTTCACAAGGGAGCTAACACCGGACGATAGCTACTGTGGAAATCTCCGATGTGTAGCGAAAAGTTCCCTGAACATCATCAACATTCGTCATTTATGATACCACCGACAAAGGCAAATCTGTCAAACTGGCGTCTATCTCCGTGTTTGCCCCCGAAGTATCCATAGACTCATCCAAGGTCAACGTTATCAATGCCACAGGGAACATCTCACAGTACGACGGGGTCTTGAATGTTTGGTTCTTGAAGGAATTTGATTGCTTGTATGGAGCGTTTCAGTGTCAACTTGACTTCTTTGACACCAACGGCCAACCGGGTGTGATCAGAGAAAACTTGACACCAGCCACCGAAGAAAATGGTAAGAAACAATTAAAAGATCTATATCGTATATTGTAGTGGTGGTAGCAGGGGTAATGATGATGATGATAGTTATGCTGGTAGTTGTAACAGTGATGGTGGTAGTAATAGTGTTGGTGGTGGTAGTAACTGTTGTGATGGCGGTGGTAGTAGTAGTGAGGATAGTGGTTGAGGGAGAGAAAGAAAGAAAGAAAGAAAGAAAGAAAGAAAGAAAGAAAGAAAGAAAGAAAGAAAGAAAGAAAGAAAGAAAGAAAGAAAGAAAGAAAGAAAGAAAGAAAGAAAGAAAGAAAGAAAGAAAGAAAAAAAGAAAGAAAGAAAGAAAGAAAGAAAGAAAGAAAGAAAGAAAAGAAAGAAAGAAAGAAAGAAAGAAAGAAAGAAAGAAAGAAAGAAAGAAAGAAAGAAAGAAAGAAAGAAAGAAAGAAAGAAAAGAAAGGAAAGAAAGAAAGAAAGAAAGAAAGAAAGAAAGAAATGTGACAGGCCAATTACAGCTATTGGGTTTGCGAAGAAACCTGGCCAGCCATTAGTTAATAAAAGACCTTGCTTAACATGAAGCGGTCTATTTGGCTGTCGCCCTCTGGTGTGTGTCATGGCTTGCAGTGGTCAATTGCCCTGCGTTGTTGATGCTGGCAGCACATGGCCGCATCGCGATGCAGATGCGACTGACAGGCCGAGATAGAGAGTCTGACTGGTGATTTTTGGCCGGCCTCCCAAAAACGGGAATTCCCGTTGAGCTGTACGGCCTTATCTGGAACTGGCTATTACTTCTAGTAATTTTCCCTGCTCTCTGGGTAGTAAGATCGATCGCCCGTGTGTATTGTTGGGCAGGTAAAAATAATTCCTTGGCATTTGGAAACAGAAAATAATAGCCTAACGTGCAAAATCTGGAGTTAAAAATCTACCCAAAGTATTTCAAAATCCTCACCGGTGCTACGGAGTTCGTACAGTGCGCTGAGATTCTTCGGACTCAGGCTTGAGTTTGAAGTAGAGCCGAGCACTTATGGGTGACTACCCTTGTACCATGATTTAATCTGTTGTTCAAATCATAGGGGGAAAACACACATATGCAGGCACACTGCGCGTCTAGTTGTTGCTTTTTGTTTTTGAAGTGAGGAGCAATTAAGATGTGTCGCTGTGAGTGAAGCTCAGCCCCACCAGGGGTGGGCGATAAACGCCCAGTGACACAAAGTGGCACTCTTCGTATTAGAATAAACCAGATTTACAGTTCAACCGTTATGTTATATTAGGGTCCCTAAAGACAGCTGGGGTGGGGTTTCAAAATTTAAGATAAATTGCGTCCCATTTTGGGGCAGACTAACGTTGCGTTGCATATCAATCATTTATATTGTGAACTGTGGCTTCCAGTCAATATGGCGGGTAAGTGAGTTTACCATTTTAGTAGTGGAATTTGGTTGCTTCTGACAATAGTTAGTCGCTGAAATTTCCTCCATATGTAGACTGAAAGGATATAGTTCCGTGAGCTGGGTGTATGGGGTGACACTATGAGCTGCGGATTTCATTTGGAATAATGTTGACTGAACCCAAGGTGACTTGTGTTGTAAACTACAGATTCAGAAAATAGCAAATGGTCCGTCGACAGAGAACTGGTTGTGCCTTTAACAATTTATTGCGTGTACAACAAGTAATCTATAGTAACTGCTGCTTCCATTGACGACGAACTGCAGTTCTAGTGTCTGACTGCTTGCTTTAGCCCTTCTCAACCCTGCCTGATGCATTTAATACTCATGTATGCTGCTGGATTTGCCGAGACTGCAGTTTGTATAATGTTTTTTGCAAGACACAGGATGGACATTTTTTCTGGTTCTCATTGGCACAGGAACGGAGCAACTATGGAGTGACCCGGAAATGTGATTTCCTGATTATCTATTAATACTATTCTTGCAGCAACCATCGTATACAGCCTAGCCCAAATTGCCACACAGCTGAAGAAACATTCGGAGGAGACGGACAAACAACTGGAGGCGCTGAAGCAGGACAATGAAGTCTTGAAGACCGTTTTAGACAGCATCTTAGTGAAAGTATCCAGGATCGAGGGGTTTTTGAACTCTTCACTTGACAAAGAACAGGTAGGGCAACTGTCTGTGTGCCTAGTGTAAGTAGGTGTGTTCGTGTTTGCTCGCGCATGTTTGTGCTTTTTATTTTATTTTTTATCTGTCTAGTTCACTTTTTACTAGAGTTGTGCTTAATTATTTATAATGTACACGATTTAATTACCTAATGGGATTTCTGTTGTGGAATATAGTAACTGTAAGAGACAAATTCAACAATATTTACAGGTCAGGCATATGCTGTTGGACCTACATATTTGAAGACGAATCGACAATCGATCTGGGTTGACTTGTGAGCCCAACTCGACTTTTGTCTTTTTCTTCTTCTTCTTCTCCTTCTTCTTCTTCTTCTTCTTCTTCTTCTTCTTCTTCTTCTTCTTCTTCTTCTTCTGCTCCTTCTTCTTCTTATCATTATTATTATTATTTTAACTATATAAAATGCATACCCCATATTGGTCCTTATGTGGGTTCCGGGGTCCCATTGTGGGGGGGAAAAAGAATAGACTCACCGCCTCCCCAAAAAGCATGTCGTAGGAGTCGACTAATTAGAGGTTTTATTCGAAGTCGGAGTGCATCTGCATGACAGGCAAAGAACCATCAGTCTGCATTGCAAATGAGTCAGATCTGTAAAACGGATGAGCACTCATTCGTCAGATTCTGGAACAATTCTAGCCGGTGAACGTAAAGAAGAAAAAGAAGATAACTCAAATATTCCTTGACCACTGACCACCAATATCTTAACCCAACAGGTCGAATTTATTAATAAGCTAACGGGAAAAGACAAGATAAAAACAGTTAGGGAGCTGAGGAAAGATATGTGCTTAACACAATAAGTAGTTTCCCGCTGAGCTGCAGAAACAGGAAAAGTGAAGAAAAGACAAGGGTTCGTCTGAGAAGGGACCATAAAATATTGATCACAGTCCAGGCAGTGAATTTGTCAATAGTGAGTTAAACAACAGCATATGACTACATCGGCAACGTGTGGCCAGCCACTTGCTCGAACTACAAGTCATATTCGGAATCGGACAACTGAACATAACCATCACATTCAACATCTTTTTATTTCTTAAATCAAAACTAACGTGCTTCAACATCACGTTCACACAGACCATGTGCTTAGCACTCCGGCTAACAAAGATGAAAGTTCGCTTCCAGTGATCTGCAATCAAAATCTTAGAGGGATGAAACACATGGAAATATAGATCTAACACAACCTAACTACTGATGCAATCTAGATTTCTAACTGCTGAACGTACCACCACCATGACATAAGTGAGCCACTCTATCTATCTCCACTCAGTCCCCTGAACCCACATTGCGTTAAAAACCATGAAAGAACCGCCGCTGATGGGTGGGACGAACTGTCCCTGGGCGACTGACGAGAGCAAAGTGCGAACAGCCAAAAAAGAACGTTTTCCTCCTGCACTGGCTTTTTATCCCCTTCGCTGCCCCTTTGACTTGCTAGGCACTACAAAAGAGTTTCCGATCCGCAAAATAAAAAATCTGCTTCGCTAGCCTGTTACATTACCTCTGTTAACGAGCCGGTGTCGCCATCTTACATAGAACCCCACGAACTCAAAGGTATTTGTATCCGCTTACCGACAAGGGCGAAATAATAATCGAATCTGACATACTATACGACTAACATCATTACATTTTATTCCTCATAATCTAAAGATCTCTCTTGTCACTGTAGCAACTTGGGACCTCGTGTTATCGGGGTATGCCGCACAAAAGCTCCAGGGAGACGTTTTTTCTTCAAGGGAAGCTCCTGGCGCTGTGTGACACGGAGACTGATGGTGGAGGTTGGACAATCATACAGGTGATTTGCCTATGATTTCACTTCAAACTGGAAGTCCGTTTTCTTCTTTTTCATCGATCAGTATTTGCCACTCTGCTTTCTTAAGGTTTGTCGGTGCTTTAATATTTTCCTTCCCAGATGTCGTCACATGACAGTCCAACGTTTCAGAGGGTCGTAAGACTGTGTTTCCTGGTTTTTTGATGCTTTTAATGATTCCAAAACATCTAGAACTGGCCCTAACTTCAACCCACATACATCCCACGAAAGAGTATACAACCTAGGTCCCACGACTACATGCAGCATAGGTCCCACGATTACATGCAGCCTATCTACGACCCCTGAAATATTAGACTGTCCCGTGACCTGTGGATTTCCCTGTTTGGGGTAAGATATTAATGAAGCACCGGTTTGTCTTGTGGGGCTGCTCCTATGGGCCATACCTGCAGTCAGTCATGTCTGACAGTGGTTGTTGAATGTTTTTTGAAATATGCTGTTGCGTGAATTAGTTTATTGTGTTAACAGTGTTGATGTCTGATAACTGATGTATGTATCATATTGTTGAATGAATTTTCCTGTACAAACTATTGTTCTATGAGCAGTGATTGAACTTTTCTATCAAATAAGTTGTTGCGTGAAACATTTTACTATAAGAACTTTCCTGTTGCGTGCACTATTTTGTTTTATGTATCATGAATAAATTGCTTGTATACATGTCTGTATTTTAATTTTAATTTTTTTATGCGATGGTAATCTGATGCCTTGTCTCTATTCCTGCCCTTAGAGACGTGTGCTAGGAAATGAAGACTTCTATAGAGGCTGGGATGATTACAAGAGAGGGTTTGGAACCCCAGACACCGACTTCTGGATTGGAAATGACATTATTCATGACCGTACCTCACAGGTAACTGCGACTTTCATATAAAGTTTTTGTTTATCTGCGCATTTTTTAAAACCTAATTAGCTCTCTTCTTGATGGTTAACATGATTGCCCTAGAAAGCCAGGTGTGTGAATATCGCAGTTCTGCTGCAAACAAGCTCAGCACAATTACGGTAAAACTCCGATTAAACGTCATTAATTTAACCGTTAGCTCCTATTATCCGTTATCGTAAGACGGGTTTATAGCATTACAGTTTATTTTTGTACATTACTACTCTTATATTGAAGTTTATATTGATCGTAACATTTAAATACAATAGGCAGGCATTATTAACTTTAAAAGGATTTTTGTTTATATTTTCTTTCCAAAACCAGCAGTGAAATCACTTTACTGTGTATACCTGTATTAAGATATTTCTGTTATCCGTCCATTGGGCTATCCGTTACAACCCTGGTCCGAACGGTGACGGTTAATCGAAGTGTTACGGTATGTTCTAACAAACTAAAGGAATATCAATACTTGCTACTTGACCTATTGTAGCTAGTGATGTTTGGTTAGTTGCGTATCCTTTACAGGACATTGAGGACCAACCCTAGCAGCACCTGGCTGTTGTGAGGTTTTTCTAGGCAATTTTACGTCCAGTAGTTAGTCATTGCCTCTGGACGGTCGGCCCCCTGCTACTACTGTCGAAACCAACGCATGGCCCGCGGCTGGAATCGAACCCGGCACCCCGGCATTACGAAGCGTTCGCATCGACTTAGCCACAGAGACGACTAGTGATGTTTATGTGTGCTTATCTCGGCAAAATTTCGGCCTTTACTGCTCCCTGCAAATCTAGGAAAGCCAGCTGGCAAAGGTGGATTGCCATCACTCAATTTAATTTGTCATCAACATACACATAATCATATCATAGTCTTAGTCGAGGTTTCAACATCAGAGCAATCAGGTTTCCTCATACTTGCTCCGTTCCTGTACCATTGAGAATCAAATTAAAAGTCCCTCACTGTCCCATTTGAAAACTGATGAGCAAACAATTTGTCCGGCGCCATCCAGAAATATGCTGTACATAGTAAATACATGTGGCAGTTGCTAGAGGTGCCAAAGCCAACTGTCGCCACCAGATACGCTGTTTGTCGTTGATCAAAGTATTCGAGTACACACAGTAGAATTATTACATAAGGTATTTCACAAGCTCACGCTACGGGCCATATTGAATACCACGACACAAACGAAAGGCATTCCACGTGCAAAACACAGCTCACAGAGCTGCAACCAAGCATTAAATCAGTAGCTCAGGCAGCGTGACCGTGGACTACAGTCCAAATGTGGAAACTGCATTAGTAAAGCGCATTTTAGACCGGAAGTAACATAATCATCGAGCAGCAGGCCCAATACAGAACGACATATGGGATAAAACCCGGTGCAATGAAGTTGATCCTCTCGACTTTAACCCTTTCCTTCGAAAGGATAAACCGGCATTATAGATCCTTCACCGCATAAATTATACATGGACATATTCTCATACCCCAAATGAGTGCCGTTGGTCTATCAATGTATACAAATGGGAATTTCTACTCTGTTTTTTTTTTTTTTTGCCGGAGAATGGGCGTATTTTACCAATGAAAATGTGCCTTTTTGCAGTATAGGAACTTAAAAGCAGACAAAATCTCAGACCCACACAAGCCTCGTCGATTCCTCAAGAAAAAGTGACCTAAGATAAGTTAAATAATGTACAACTTACCTACAATATTGATATTCCTCGGTGGGAAAGGATTTTCTCACTTTCAAGGTGACGGAGAAGTTTTTCAGCCCGTCCCCTGGCCTCAGTAGTTACGTCTCGAATGGAGGCTGTTTTCATTAAGTGCCAGTCCCAGTAATTCGTTTCATGTGGATTTAAGGTCGAACAGGCTACAGTTTGGTATACACTGATCCATACTTATTAAAGACGCACTATATGTCTACCTCAGTTATATCACTTTTTAAACTTGGGTATTTTGCATAGTGGGGTACAGATTATAGATGAGATCAATAGCAGAGGTGAGTTTCTCTTGCTGACACCGCCTCACACTACATACCGTGACTTTCACTTTAACCAATGCCAGGATCTGTTGAGGATCTAATTTAATTGTCAATAATTTTAATCTCGTTTGCCTTGATGGAAGACCGTTCTAGGAAAAGTCCAATATTATGGGGAGGGTGTAGGGTTAGAGTTAGTCGATGTTCATATCACACCCTTCACCTTGTGGGTTTCGGGGCCCTATTGTGTGGAAAACAAGAATAGACCCACTGCCTTTCCAACGTCGTGGGAGTCGACTAATTGCAGGCTTCCTCTAAAGTCGGAAGGCATCTGCCTGAGAGGCAAGGAACCAAAAGTCTGCATACAGAAGAAGAAGATTTCATACCCTAACACTCATCTCCAAGTTTGATTTTCCTGGGAATTTCCCCTCGGACAATCATCGAGATGGGGTGAAATAAAAGGGGAAAAAATAACCTATTATTTACTATATTCAAACTTTTTTCAGGGCTACAACGAACTCCGTATTGACTTAGTCTACAAAGGAATCAAGATATTTGCTCACTACACAAACTTCAATCTCACCGACGAGTCATCTGGTTACCTAATCACCACTGGTGGGTTTTCCGGAAATGTCTATGACAGCATGAGCATTCAAAACGGCTACAAGTTCACCACTTTTGACAGGGATAATGACAGATCAGACTACAACTGTGCCGTGCGGTACCACGGGGCCTGGTGGTACAATTCCTGTTATGACTCCAGTTTGAACGGTGCATGGGGAGACAGCGACTTGACGGGTATTTCTTGGCATAACACCAGCACTACCTTGACAGGTATATCGTTCACAGAGATGAAGATTAGGCATGTTTAGATGTCGCTTCCTCAACCCAAAGCTATACATATTTATGCTTGCTCAACAGTTAGATCGGCTGGCTTAAATAATTGTGGGTAAGGTAATTAGGATGTATTCTGTAGTATGTATTTTAATAAAGTGATTTTCCAACCATCACCTCTTCAAGGTTCCTTGTGTTAATTGTGGCTTTGAAATCACTTCAAAAAAAGCAGAAGAAAAGAAGCCTTTTTTTTCAAAATTATTTTTAGCATGTACTACCAGACCTATATTTTTTTAAGACCAAATCGGATGTTGGTGGGTAATGTGATGAGCAAAGGGTCGGCCACCTTTACTCCCCAGGACCTGCTACCTAATTAAGACTAGACCGACCTGGTAGCTAGGGATGTGGATTTGAACCTCCAAACTTCTGACCTGGGCAAGCGTCCAGCATTTATACTACAGCGGCTCCTGAAATCTTCTTCGCGTTCACCAGCTGTAAAATATTCTGCGGAAAATTCTGGTTGCTTATCCACTTTTGAACTGCAGTCCTGTTCCAGAACCTGGGTGTTGCGTGTGCATCCGTTTGACAGATTCGACTGGGCCAGTTTGGGTTGTTTCGCACAACTTTACTTCTTACCTTCCTCAATTCCCTTTTCTCATTTCGTCATGTCTTTTTACATCTTTATCTATAGAGGCTTATATTTGTTTGCAAATGTCGGCTCTGTGGCTAAGTCGATGCGAACGCTTCGTAATGCCGGGTTCGACCCCAGCTGCGGGCCATGAGCCTTGCGTTGATTTCGACAGAGGTATCAAGAAAGCCGACCGTCCAGTAAGCAATGGCAAACTACTAGACGTAAATTTGCCTTGAAAAACCACACAACAGCCAGGGGCTGTTGGGGTTGGTTCTGCAACGTCCTGTGAAGGATACGCAACTAACCTAACCTATCCTGCAAATGAATTTCTTTGTTTCTTTATGCTCTCATAACGATCAACATGTAAGCATTCCTTGTATGTCGTCTTTGACCTTTTTAATTTATGAAAACAGTCTTCCAAGGGTTGTCTTTCCTGTTTATATAGGGTGCATGTTAGCAGGAAGTGGTCTTTTGTGTTTTCACGGAAGCCTCTAAGCACAAGGGTGCTGTAAATTTGGCTTTCCAGTATCCAAGTCTAAATCTCCATAATTTTTTATTTGCTGAGATATTTATTATGTCTGTGACTTATGATGTCAGAGTTAGTTCTCTCAAATGTTCGCACGCCCTTCTGCTAGTAACACTCATTTTCCATTTTCTTCCACATTCCTGTAATATACCGTTTTATTTGACTGTTTCCCTCAGTTTTTTTCCTAGGCCTGTTTCTATTATATCATGGCTGCTGGTAAAAATATCAACCTTTTCATTATCAACTATGCTTTTATGCGCAGAAACCCATGCTAAGGTGATCTGACGTTCGTTGTTTCTAAAAGGTGTGATTAGTGTTGATATCTCGTCCCCTGTGTAGTTTTCTAGTGATTGTACTGATGAAAGAGAATCTGTCGTTATTGTCAATTTCAAAACAAAAAACACAAAAAGATGGGGGAGAGGGAGAAGGGGTCTGTTGCTTTCTTTCTAAGGCGTACAGACGAACTGTTGTAACATTTTCCAGTAAGGAACATAACAACATGCTCCTACTTCATCTTTCTCATCCATTAGCGTATTTTATGTTTCAATGTGCTGCTGCCCTGTTATGATCCTTACTTGTAGTGGATCAATGTTGTGTGAAATCTGTTTTGCCAGGCTCATGACTACATATGGTGGTTTCAATTCCCGTGGTTATATCTTGAGCTTTATATCTCTTACTCATTTTAAGTGCACTTTCTAATTCCTTTAACATACTCTCCATCTGGCCTAGAAATGTTTCTCATTGACACTGCCTAGAATTTTGTATTAAAAGTGTTACATGCTATGACAAGGGATTGTGTGTGGTTTGAAGCCAGTAATTGTATATCGTTTCATTCTTATTTTAACGCTACTTCCATTGCTTCTCTTGATGTGCCTTTACCTGCAACCATGATAGTGGCCAGTGCTATACCATTTAGTCTACTTTTTGTGCAGTCAGTTGCTGAGTCATAGACAATGCTTCCATATTCTATTTACCCTCTCAGGAAAGCATAAAATTGTAAGAGAGTGGCTTGAGCTTCCCAATTATTGCTTTTAATTTTCTTAAAAAGTTGCTAATCCTTTTATATTTGTCTGTTGTATCAATGTTTGCCTCAATTTAGCTGTTTATCCAAAATCATTCCTAGAAACCGTGTGCTCCTTACTCTCTGGATTGGTCTTTGATCAACTCCAATTGTAACACTGCTAGTGTATGTTTTTTCTCTCTCTTAGGATGAATCTTTTATTTCTCTCATTCCTTGAAACCGTGTGCTCCTTACTCTCTGGACTGGTCTTTCATCAACTCAAATTGTAACACTGCTAGTGTGTGTTTGTTCTCCCTCTTAGGGTGAATCTTTTATTTCCTACCCTGTTAACGTTATTTATGTGTTTCATCAATTTCCACAAAAAAGATGATTGGTCGACAGGCATTTGGTTCCACCTGGTCTTTTCCTTTCTTCTAGACTGGTATAAGTATAGCTTCCTTCCATGCCTGAGGGACTATTCCTCTCTTCCAGCTGCGATTAAAGACTGCTAGTAATTGCCTTGGAACCAAGTCATATCATCTGTAATCTTATCCTTCCCTGGTGATTTAGTATTTACTCACTGCCTATTCCAGCTCTTCAATATTAACATTTTCAGTTTTGATTTCTGTGACAAGACTTGCTCTTTCATTGCTTTTTGTGTGTGTGGTTCCGCTGTGGCAACAATGTGGTCTTCACTAGCATAGTATTCCATAAATGTATTTGCAGCCATGTTTTTCCTGTTAGTATGTATTCACGTGGATAACATCCGATGAAAGATGTATCAGAGATAAGTTAAAGAGACCAAAAATTGCATTTTTTAAAATGAACTTGGTGCATTATTCATGTCATTGGCAGTCAAAGAAAATAATTCTTGCATGCGATATAGAGCTAGTTTTAACATACAGCTGTAAAGCCAGGACAATTATTAAACAAGGCTAACAATATCTTAAGGACTCAGAGATGTGATTTTACAGAAGAATCCTTGAAATCACTGGACAGCTAAGAAGAGCAGCCCAGATGTTCTGAAAAAGGCGAGTGCTCGAAGACAACTTATCACAAACATAGAAAGAAAGTCATCATTTGTTGATCATGTTATAAAATGAAACGGGAACATATTGTGTCTGCCAGAAATGTGTGGGAAAGAGAGACAGGAAGACAGCGCAAGAAGATTCTTAACGACCTTTTGTCATGGCACAACGGGGTGTGAACACACAAACTGACACAGCTGCGAATCTCAGATTGTGCAGAGGCATGATGGCCCACACCAGTTGACAAGGCACTTGATAATGTTACCCGGTTTAATGGTGTCTGTTACTGGACCCTTCTCGCAAATGGCTTTTGCTAGTTTCTACAATTTATCTTTTATCTTTAAGTTCAGGTTTTCTGTCTTATTCCACCAGGCATTTCTTGTTCTTTAATTTTATGTTTTTATATTTAACTTAGATCACTTTTTGCTCGTCTACTTCTGAACTGCAGTCCTGCTCCAGAACCTAAGTTGTGCGTTTGCGTCAGTTTTATATATCTCATTCTCTTGAATACAGACTGTTGGTTCCTCGCCTCTCCAGCAGATGCACTCCGACTTCAAAGGAAGCTCCCCAATTAGACTCTTACGACATGCTTTTAGGGAGGCAGTGGGTCTTGTTTTCCCCTACAATGGGGCCCAGGAACCCACACGGGTTGATTGTTCTATCTCTGCTGTTTCTTCAGCCTCTGACTTTTCCCTACAAAATCTGTAGCTATTTCTTGCAATATGTCTGTAATTTTGCTGTGCACCTCTTGCATGCACATATGATATCTGCAATGTTACTTTTAGCCTTTTGTCTTCATGTTGCCGTATCGTGTGTTAATATTTTTATAATACTCTTGTCAGCAAAGCGAATTTTTCCTAGTCAGCTAATTTGTAATTCTATCCTGGCAATGGTTTCTGTTTCTGTAGGATATAATTCATGTTTACAAGTTTCCCTGATCTGTGATGGCTGCCTGTTAACAGATCCAGTATAATGCTATCAGTTTTGTAAAAAAAATCACCACCAGAACGTTGTCAAGAGTGCAGGTCTTCAAGAATAGCAGCTGACTGTTAAATTTAAGTTTATTTCAGTCTTCCATTTTGTCTCCCATGGTGTCAGTATCTGGGGATCCTCATCTCTGAGCAGTTATTAAAATCTTGAACAATTAAGCAGTTTGTGTCTATTTCCATTTCTGAAAGTTTAGGGGCTACATAATTTGTATATTCTGATTTTCTCTTCCTTTAGAATGATAAAGCCTACAATTTTATCGCTTGGTATTAAGATTCAAATAAGTATTAATCTTCTTTATGCCACTGTCAGATGCAGTATATCGCTTGATATCCTTTGACTAAAAATCTTCATCTTTACGTTCACCATTTTTACACTCTGGCGTAAAGTTCTGGTTGTTCGTCCACTTCTGGACCGCAGTCCTGCTCCAGAACCTGAGTGTTGCGTGTGCATCAGTTTTACGGATCTGATTCAATTGAATGCTGGTTGCTTGCATCTCAGGCAGATGTCAATTTTGTCTCCATTAGGGGTTTTGTTTAAGACATTTTAATTTTATTTAAACTCCTTTAGCGTTTGACTAATATGTTAAGTGTCCTGCATGTTCGGTCAAGGTTTTTTTTACCCTAATGCTGTGCGTTGACTGCACAGAACGTGGGTAGGAGCCCATTAGTAGTGGGGGAAGGGAAGGCGTTCAAGACAAAGGGCCGGGCAATAGCTGCCTGCCAGGGCTCCATGAATTTAACACTATCTGGAGGCAGCATGTAAGTCATGTCTATCCCATCTGTATTTTGAAGATATTTTAATACCTAAGTGATAAAATATTAGGAAAACTAGAGGCATTGTGATTTTTACAAGAATTGTATGGT